CTGGTGCCTGGTGCAAGCTGCTACTAGTCGCCAAGATGTGTGGTGCAGTGTGTAGGTGACAAAGTCAGATCGCCCGCCTGCAACCGGCCCAGGTAATGGCTGGCTGGCTGGCCGGCCGTCCGTCCAAGCAGCAGGTCTCTGAATGTACAACATCACGGAGAGTGCAACATGTATGTGCTACTGTATACTCCCTCCGTTCCTAAATATAATAAGTCTTTGTAGAGATTCCACTATGGACCACATGCAGATTATATAGATGCGTTTTAGAGTGTATATTCACTCATTTTGCTTCGTATGTAGTCCATAGCGGAATCTTTACAAAGACTTAAAAATTCGAAAATCATATTCTGAAGTTTCAAAACAATCTGAACAAAATGCACAAGCACATAATGATGTATACTACGTACATTTATGCAAAAGCTTAAGATGAAGTGAATGTGAAAAATCCAGGCTCCATGGAGCCCTGGATTGCATGTATCTCAAAGCAGTAGTATATATAGCAAGGTCTGTACATGTATAATATGCTGATTGCATCATCAGTGATTACAAAACTGAAAAGAGCAGATGACAAGTCATTGGATAGCTTCACAGGGTCTTAAAGAAAGAAAACTTGACCCGCTTTTCTATATAACTCAACAGCAAACTGCGACTTAAAATGGGGCTAAAAGGATCTTGACGATCATCTCGGAAAGGGACATCTGGAGAATCGAAAAGACAATCAGAAGCAACAAATATACTTGCATATACAGGCATTAAAGATCACATCACATGTTAAGATGGCACAAATGTTCGGGTACTGTGCATGATCCTTTCAGGCATACAACCAGATACCGCAGGCAACATATATTACACAGAGCTGACATTATTTTAGGCACCAGCTAGCTACTACGACGCTTGATCCTGCTGCTTATGTCGCAATCTGCATACATTTAAGTTAAGAACATACCTATATGTGTGCATCACAACAAGATTTTCGAACTAAACCAAGGGGAGAGCATATGCCTTTCACTTCAATGGGTTTCCTGGGAGGAAAAGGTCCTCCTTCAGTACATGCTCCCATTCTGACGGTGAGTGGCTTAAGCTTAGCTGCTTCTCATGCAAATTCACATTTGCAGGTTTCCTGAGACTCCTCAAGTAATGTGTACTGACGTACTGCCTTGCGGTTCTGCTATCCACTTCATCAGATAAGGCTCTGCACCCAGCATCACCAGGCAAATCAGTATTCAACAGCATCAGGCAAATCGGTCTTCTGAATTAGCTCCTCACGCGCGCCGCGGTCAGGTTGTTTTCTTTCAAAGCGACACACCCAATCATTGGAATGGAAAACCTCTTGTCCCCCATTCACGACGTTGCTATTGTTAGGTTCGCATCTTTTCAGGACTTGCAGCCTGGCCATAACAGCATCTTCAAGCTCACCAAATCCATTTTTACTTGTTGCTTTGCTGTTTGGAGCTCATGAGCATGGCCATAAAAGCATCGCGTGTTTTGCTTCCTCACTACATCCTAGCTGATCTTATGTTGGTGTACTCATCCAATGAGCTTGTATCGTAAAGTCGTGAAGTGCAGCAATAGTAGTAGCACCATCAGCCTCATCCCCTTCATTGATACTTGCTTCGTAAAGTTCTTTGATGGTGCCCTCCACTAAAGAGTTTGTACTATCATCAACAGCATCATCAAAAAAGTTGTCATCAACAACACACCTGTCCTGTTACAATTATGTATATCTTTTTGCTGCTCAGTATTGCCCTCATCACATAGCTTCAAAACTTTCAGTCAAGCAAACACATCAGCATCAAACAAAAGCACAATGATATGCGATTCAAGTATATGACGATTAACCAAGAATATAGAAACATTCAAATAATTTCCTATTACCTATTCAAACAAAAGCCCAAACTATAACTAGTCTGTTAATTATAGTACCTCGGCAAAAGCTCTCGGTTGATCGTAGTCATAGGTCAGCACCAATCTGAAAGTACCTCAGTAAGTCAGCAGACATATAGGATGTGAGGAAACAAAAAAAATGCTTTTCTGAATTCACATCAGTAGAGGCTTTTGAAAGGACGGCTGTAAAATGTCCAGGAGTGTAGGAAGAACAACACCAAGGTGAGTTATTTCGTCCCATAAAGTACACATGAATAATTGGACTTCAGTAACTACAGAACTGTGTGATCCCATCCCAAATACTTATTGGAATACAGGCATGTATTACATCAAGAATAAAGAGTTCTACTTCTCTTTATTTGACGAGTGAGTAGGGATGTTACCTCTCAACCTGTCCTAAACAAGATATGATCTGCAGTGATAAAAAGGAAAAATGCTAGAAACAATAGAAAATGCAATGCACCTCTTTTTTCTTCCTTGCGTTGTAGCTTGAAGGTTTGTCTCGACAGCAAGATGAGCAATTCGTGGTGCATACAATGAAATAAAACAAATACAAATTAGGAAATTAGCAACAGCAAGATGAGAAAATGAAGATGCATTGAAATAAAACAAAAACGAACGCGACATGAGGTTAAAAGTTACAAAATGGATGCATTGCTGCATCAAAGCACAGGAGTAGATTATCTTGAAGGAGAGAATCCAAGGTGACGTTTTGCATGAACACGTCATGCACACACACCATAGTTTGGAATGTGAGACCATACTTTGGTGTGCTTCCACTTGTTTAGAGAGCTCCGCTGTAAAATTAGGAAATTGATCACAAGATATCAGAAACACGAAGGACAAAGTTTGAATACTTAATAAAACAGTTAATAGTTAATAGGGTGTTGGAATACATAAACAGTAAAGGACAAAGTTTGAATAGTTAATAAAACAGTTAATAGGGTGTTGGAAACTTGGAATACATAAGCAGTCCAACCGGAGAGTGTAGGCCTGACATTTGCCAAGATTTGACCTTGGATTCAAGAATCTGTTAAAAGGGTTCTAAATTTTTGTAACAGAATATTGTGTCCTAATTTAGATGCTACCTTTCATGATTAGTGGAGCTGGTATTCCTGTAGATGTTAATTTACCATGAGTTTGTTCTGTTTTCTTTTTTGCTGGTTTATTTACTGCAGATGCACCTGTGATCCTATGAAGCATTCTCATAGAACATCTCTTTTTTTTTTCCTTCTGTATCGACAATAAAGTTAAGTTGGTTTTTTTGGGTATCTTATCTCAAATATTCTTGGATTTGACAAAGCAGTCTGCTATTTGCACCCTGGAAGACATGGATGTTATCAAGGAAGGAAAGGTTAGTATTACTTTCATGATAGAAAGGGATGTGCACACTAAATCTGCAGCTTGCGTAGGTAGCATCACTAAATTTTGATGAGGGTAGAATTGCTGGATACTGAAAGAGTAAATATATCTGTCGATGGGGGTAAAACTCATAGGTATCAGGAAAGCAATGTGCAGTACGGCTCAGATGGAGCTAAAATTGACAAGTGGGCATAACGCCCATTCCGGGACGAGTTGGAAGAGGAATTCCAAAATATTACATGGGTACCTTTTGTGGCTACGTTGGACATAGCATCAAATGCTGAGATAGTAGCTAAGGCAGTAAGTAAATTCACTGCTGGATGCATTACTGTTTCATCTTTTGTTGCTTAGATGAACATGCAGGTGTTGCATTAGCCATGAGGTGCAGACTAAAAAAGACAGAAGAACATGGGAGGTGCTGTGTTCTGTCTGATAAACAAGACATTTCCAGTTGCAACGATGTGATGTCCCCCCTCATATGTGGAAAGACTTCTGCGTGCAGTTGCAACAGCACTGATATTACCAGTGATTTAAAAAGAGAAAAGATACTACCTGTGAATTCACATATGTGTCTTAACCTCAATTACATATGGGCCGCCTAAAAGCTAAACCCCTCCCTGTAAGGACATTCTTCATCCTACAACTGTGCCTCATCATAAATGTAAAACATCGATCGTGTTACCTTCATGTAAGAAATGCAACTTTGGCATCATTTCTGAAGTGCTTTGCTGATGAAAAATGTCCTGAGAGCTAGAAAACAGAGGAGCAAAATCATCCTTTCCTAAGTGCTTTTTGCTGCTTCTCCATGTCCCTCCCTGCAAAAGATAATGAGAAACATTTGAAATTACTTACTGCAAGTCTGCAAAAATGTTGAATTGCAAAAGGGAAAACGAAAACTCCCAGCCGAACTCTACATTTGTCCAAGGAATCATTACTGGCAGCATTTGAGACTTGACACCTGATTGTGTATATGTCCTTGAGCATTTTGTCTAAAGAATCCTTAGCTAATTGGTGCTTCGCGTCTTTCTCTCCTGATTCAGACAAGACCTTTGCTGACGATGTCCTACTGACAATTCACACGAGTAACATCTTTATCCAAGATATCTTGATTGTAACCCCAGAACTGCTGAAATAGTTTTCTTAACAGAGCTTCACAAACCAATCAATGAACTACTGCCTCACCTACAAAAGGATAATTAACATCTCACAGATCAGGCCTATGCCAGCAAAATGGCAAGGCACTTATGTTTATGCAAAAGCACATGGTAGCGATTGGTTCAACTACCTGCGTTGTCGCTGGTTGCTCTGGCGCTTCTTGATTTTGTACTCAAGATGGCTTTTCGCTGTTTCTGAATTTCGCATGGGTGCCTACAAAATAACGCATCGCGCTAAACTGAGGCGCAGATTTTCTGTCGGCATCACTACAGAGACACCGACAAAAAGATTAAGCTAAGAACAGGCTAACTATTGACCGCAGTACTGAACAGCTTGAGGCGCTTGTAACTTGTGAAACTAAACGACTACAGAAACTTTTGGAATAATTTGTGATAACTACCGTTGGATCAACTGCATAATTTTGAGATGAAAAATGAATAAATAAAGGCGTCCTCTCGTTGCTCTACGTTACCTGAATCTTTGAGGCGTCCTCTCGCCATTTCGGCTGAAACTTGTGCAGAAGCAGAGTGAGCAACCTTTACAGCTGGGGCGGCACCTCCTGAGGGAAAAGCTTCGGTATCTCGGAGGGGAGCTGGAGGATGTCACGGACGACGGCGCGGTCGGCGGCGTCGAGGCTGGGGTGCGCCAGAGCGCCTGCAGGATGTACTCTACCGAGTCCTTGGCCCGCGCGCGCGGGCCAGCGGCGGGAGGTGCGCGTGCCCCCAGAGCGCCGCCGCCGATGTCGTCGTCCCGTGTGGCCGCTCCTCCATCGCCGGCCTGGTTCCGCCGCCGCGTGCGGGGAGACTATGGGCCAAGACATGAGTGGCAAAGGCAATGCGCGTTGCTAGCGGGCTGAAATTAGCCCATGGGTCTTGACTGGGCCCACCCAAACTCATTCATTCACAATTATCCATTCAATGGTTATTTTTGGGGCCTATTTCTCAAAAAAAAAATCCATTCAATGGTTATTTTTCTCAAAAAAAAATCCATTCAATGGTTATGGGTAAATATGTACACTCTACTGGTGACTAGTATTTTTTTTCATTTGAGAAGTCCAAAATTATTAGTACAATTTCATAATTATGCATCCAATATTTATGACAAAAGATATAGACACTTCACCAGTCACTGATTGTATCCATGAATAACTTATATGGTAACTCCCAATGAATCAATTGCATAGTTTTCAATTGAATGTATTCTAGTTGGTTCTAATTATATATTACATCCCTTCATTTTTATTATGTAAATTTTCCTTTAGGTATATTCTTAATTATTAGGCGCAGTTTCCGTTTAACCCCATTAGAAGCCAATTCTACCCCTCTCGGAAGGACTATTAAATAACCGTTGGTAATTAGTTCTCTACTCAACAATATAACCAAGGGTATTTTAGTCCAAAGTATCTTCAAACCAATGCCTTGATCACTGTGCACAAAAGGACACCTAATAAAAAAAGTAAAAGATGCACAAATAGGCCCCAAAAATATATTTAAGATGCACCGGTGAACAATTGATGCACACCTATATATGTTCACAATCCAAATACGAGCATGTGCATGAAGATGCAAACAATTAATGTACACCTATCATCAGGCTCCAATTATAATGTCGGTGGGTATTGAAATCAACTAGCCCACACAAATCGAGCATGCTTACAGCTATAAAATGTAACCAAATATTTTTTTTGTGAAATATAATCTTTTTTAGTTTACTTAAAAATAGTGCAGACAAGGATGCCTTATGGTTACATTTGGTTGTTTACGCAACATTTTTGGTGATTTTTTTGTTGCATGTTTTTGCTTTCGAGGTGTTCATGTTATTTGATTTTTTTAAGCAATGTGTTTAGTTAAACATTAATTTTTACAATATTATGTATGTGCCATTGTAAATAAAAATAGTGCTTGCAATATGTTTGACGTAATATACAATAGTATGATGTTTTATGGTAATGTCTCCACTCCAGCAGTATCAAAAGGTAGCAAAATGTGTGAAAAAAATGGTAACTTCTTATGGATGCCAAGTTCCCGACTATCTACTACGACAAGGTTTGCCCGGCTCCGGTGATGGAGGGGCAATGACGGCGGCGCGTCTTCGGCTCGCTCCAGTGCTTTTAGTCGTCGCTAGGTGGTCCATAGATCTGGTTGTAATTTTTAGTACCTCGTGTTCTCTGTACTGCCATGATTGATGATTAGATTGGAAATTTCTTTCGCAAAAAAAATGTATGCTTCACCTACACTCCCTTAGTTAAAAATGATATGTGCGTGACTGAACAAATATGGAATGAGTTTGCTATTCTCGCAAAAAAAAGTTGAGTTGGAAAAAAATCGTTTCTTTTTTCGATGCGAGAACATTAGATAGAGTTTATCGTTGATCTGAAAACACAAATCGTGCGGCTTCTAATTTCAAAAAATCAAGCCCACACAAATATCACATCCAGTTGGCAAGAATCGACAATGTCGCATCACTCAATGACAAATAATTAATGTGGTCCATAGAAAAAATAAAACAATAATGTGGTACGAGCACTTCAAAACAAAAGAATTAGGCCATGTTTGTTTCATAAGTCCTAGGACTTTTTTAAGTCTCAACTTATAAGTCATAAGTCCCTACCTGTTTATTTACAGGACTTATAAGTTCATGTTGCACCGCTGCAACGAGGCTCAGGAGAGGGCTTGTCCGGCGATTGGAGGCACCGCTGCAACGAACCGAGGCAGAACGAACCGAGGCGGGGCGGCGACGGGGCGGCGAACCGAGCCGGGGTGGCGACGGGGCGGCGACGGGGCGAGAGGCGGGGCGGCGGCGGCGATTGGACCGAGAGGCAGGCGACGTGCGGGGAACGAGCCTGGAGCGGCGCGGAGTAGGTCCGGCTCGGGATAAGTCCCAATAAGCTCCTCCCTGAGAGTCTTATTTGATAAGTCCCAAATCACCACAATAAGTCCCAATAAGTCCCTTGTGTTTGGTTTAGGTGGGACCATAGTTTTAAATAGCGCGCTAAGCATCTTAGCGGCGAACATCTTCCAAATGCTATAGCGTGCTATAGCGGAGCTATAGCGCGCTATTTAAAATGTTTGTTTATTTTTTTGGACCAAAATCTCTTAGCGCAAGACCTTTTATAAACGCTATAGCGTGCTATAGCGGAGCAATAGCGGGCTATTTAAAACAGTGGGTGGGACTTATAGGAACTTTTTTAAGCCCCTAAACCAATAAGTCACTGAAAACGAACACCAATTTAGATACTTGGGTCCATAATGTGCTTTCCCGATCTACCACTAAAATTCTACTACATTTTTTATGAAATGCGGCGGAGCTGCTTTCATTGCGTTTAGAAGAGTGAGACAGTTAGATCGAGGGTAACAAAAGAAATCAAAAAAAATGAAAAATGTGTAAGAGGTAGAATAAATCCTACGCTATCCTTTTTTTTTCTAGAAACGGAGGAAGACCCACGGCCTCTGCATCTGGTCGATGCATACAACCATTTTATTAATTATTAACATAAGACCTTACAAAGTCATACAACAGTAAGACTAAAGCCACCATCTAAGCAACATCTGTCGCACTACTATCCAGATGATGAAGGGGTGCTGATAGTCTGGCCTAATACCAAATAGACCTCGCAACCAAACCTAACATCTAAGACCTGAGGTCCCAAACAGAACGCCTGCCGGGTATGGGCACCCACCAGTCTGGCGTGCTCCTCAACCAGGACGCCTGCCGAGTATGAGGACGCCGCAGCCACCTGCCATCAATCCATCTTCAGTATTGTATTGCTGCATCTACCTTGCCCGGTCTAGTTGCCGTCGACGCCACCACGATGCCAGACAACGCCACTATCCTGCGCTCGTCCATCATCACAGGCCCACCGGCGAGACCCTGCAGCTCCATGCCGTTGAGACCCGCCGTTGTCGACGTGCCAGATGCCACGCAAGCTCCTCCATCGCGAACACCACCTGCTGCCACTGGTCCCATCCCCTCCGTCTGCATTTCCTCTAAGCGAGCACCCAAACGCCCCAGGCAGCGCCTCCAAGAAGGGTACGACACACGCAGTGCCGCCGCCGCCAAATCTGAGGTATTGGGTTTTCACCCGGGCATGGGGTCGGGGTAGAGGGAAGGGACCTCAATGGTGCCTGCAAGGAGGAGAACAGTGACCCTGGTCGCCACCACCGTCGGGATGAAAGATTCATCCAGAGCTTCCTCCGGTCCGATGTCATCTCTACCAGCCCCCATGAACGCACCGAGGCCAACGAACGTGATCGTAAGCCATCCAGTACAGCAGGAGAGAGCCTGCAGCAAGAAGGAGATCCACCGGCAACTCACCGCCCGAGGTCGCCGCCCCGGCATCCACCCACCGCACACATCCCGTCGAGACATGGAGAAAGACCCACACCTCCGCCACCAGGGAGCAGCACACCGTGATACCAAGCTGGGCAGGACGAGGCAAGGCCACGCCGGCCGGATCCAGCGAACCCCGTCCCACCAGCCGCCAGATCGGAGCTTAGGCGGCCGGATCAGGGGAAGCGGGCGGCGGCTCCCGATGCGGGGTGGGAGGCCTCCAGAGGCCGAGGCGGGTGCACGGGGAAGCCCCCGCCGCGCGGGCAAGCCCGACGACGGCTGCCGGCGGCGGTAGGGGAGGAGGAGACGGGGAGGCGGGGACTGGCGGCGCGTGGGGTTTCGCCCTCGAGTCGCCCGAGAGCGGACAATGCGAGGGGATGAGTAGCAATTGTATTTACTCCTACACTATCCCTACATTTCCTATCTAATCATGATACTCAAGAAAATCAATGGAGGGACGGTTAGTCAGGCTAGAAGGGTGTGTGCAGTGTGCACCAACGCTTGAACACATGTTCTGCCCGTGCTCACCCATAGGCTCGCTTCCATCATCATCTTGTCGAGGACAACTTGAGGAAATCTCGTTATGGCTTTGGAAGTCCTAGTGTTTCGCTTCAACGAGATCATCCACCATACAAGGGCAATGATTGCTTTTGGATTCTTCATTGCCTAATCGCGGGGAAGTGCGCTCTCACCTCTCTACAGGAGAAGGTTCGCCAGTTTAAGTTGCAAGGGCAGCTGACAGGTTTGCCTTTGTGATGAGGATTCCTGTGATTGCATACAGAGGAGGCATGCTTGTCTGTGTGGCCAACTGCGCTTGGCGTGAGGTTGTTTGTAGTTAAACAGGACCCCTGGTCAGTTAGCTAAACGAAGAGCCTACACTTCAGCGGAGTGTCAAAGGATCAGGAGAGCTGGTAGAATGAAGGGTTCTCAGGTTGTTTCTGCTATAAAAATATGTGGCCAAGGGCTAGTTCTGGTTGGTCTCATTTCAAATTCTACAAAGCTCAGTATGTATCATTGTAGAATTATTTTTGTTAGAATATGTGTTCCTTAATATCAATTGGTACCATGTCTTATCGTTTGCCATGTAATTTCTGGCAACAACGATCAAGGGGTGATTATGGGGGTAGAGTACGTGTAAAGAATCAAATTGGGTGCACATGAGACAAGGATTTAACTAGGTTCAGGGCCACGAGGTGAGTAATACCCCACTCTTGCATGTTTAATTGTATTGATGGTGATTGTCTCCCCTGTAAGATGTTTTTTTTGGACTCAGAAGGCCCCTATCTCACCTTATATAGGTGGACAGGGGGGATTAAATAGGCCTGAATCAGTTACATGACTTGTAGCCCAAGTTAAGTCATTTTACATGACTTGTAGCCCAAGTAGGTCTTGTCTAAGTACTTCCCTTTTTTCGCGAATACGCAACGGCTTGCGTATCATTCATTGATAGGAAGAAGATGGAAGTGCAAGAGTACATGCAGAAGCGAGGAGGAGGCGATGAGGTGAGTCGTACACAGGGATGGCGACCACATCATCGCGAGCAGAGAAGGATGTGGGTTGCTCAGCCCACACTAAGCCCTACGCAGCTACTGCAGGACATTGGCGAGTCCAACGGCCCCCGCCCTGGCCCAAGTTTTAGCTTCTTCCTTAATGGAGTTGGAGAGGAGAAGTGTGGAAGGCTGCTTCCCGTCGAAGATACACCCATTGCGGTGGGTCCAAATGGACCAGGCAATGAGGAGTATCATGGATGAGAGTCCTTTCCTGGACGGCGTAGGGCAGCTAGAGCTAGCAGAATGCCACCACTCCAGGAAGTCATCACTCGGAGATGGAAGAGGGACCGCAAGCGAGCACCACACGAGCAAGTCACACCAAATCTGTCGGGAGAAGGGGCAGCCAATAAGCAAGTGATGTGTTGTTTCAGGCTCCTGGTCGCATAGGCGGCAACGTGGATCATGGGGAAGTCCGTGTCTGGCAAGGCGAGCAGCCGTCCAACAACGGTCCTGGAGGGCCAGCCTGGTGAAGAATTTGACACAGAGGGGCGCCCAAGCCTTCCAATGAAGTCTCCAGTGAGGGGCGTGGGTCAAGCCATGGAAGAGCGCAAGGTAGAAAGAGCTGGCGGAGTACGCGCCCGAAGTGGTCCAGCACCATACAAGCCTATCCGGCTCCGAAGTCAGGGTGACATGGCCAAGCAAGCGCCAGAGGTCGATGTATTCCACCATGGTAGTGGGGGATAGGGCACCCTGGATGTCCCTGGCCCAGGAGCGTTGATGCAGGCAATCAGCAATGATCCTCGCGTTGCGCCGGCGACGAGGGACGAGGGGAGAGAGCGTGGGGGCGATCTCCATGATGGCTTTGCCATTCAGCCAATGATCCGACCAGAAGCGGCAGGCGCGGCCATCGCCAAGCATCCATGTGGTCGAAGCCCGAAAGATGGCAGCAGTGTCGGCATCGACAGGGATCCGAAGATGACTCCACGGCCAAGCCGGGTCCGTACGCTGAAGCCAACACCAACGAGCACGCAGGGCAATGCCGAAGCGGCGAAGATCAGGAATGCGAGCCCACCCAGGGCAAGGGGACGACAGACCTTATGCCAGTTGACCAGGCAATGGCCAGCGGAGGCGTCACGGCGGCCGTGCCAGAGGAAATCCCGGATGATCCGATTGATCTGCTTCAGGGTAGGCGCAGACAGAGCGATGGCCATCATAATGTGAGTCGGCGTGGCGGAGAGCACATGTCGGGCAAGGGCAAGGCGCTCACCCCGAGACATCATCGAAGCGTGCCAAGTGCACAATTTTGTTGCCATGCGATCGGCCGTGGGCTAGATGGCAGAGGCTGGCACCTTGCGGAGCGACAAGGGGAGGCCCAGGTAAATCAGAGGGAAGGAGGTGATGGGACAGTCCACCTCACTAGCCACGACCTTGATCTCCTCCGGAGAGCACTGGATGGGGGTGGCTGAAGATTTAGCCATGTTGGAGTGAAGACCACAAGCCTCGCCAAATATCTGCATGAGGGTGCGCACATCTCGAAGGTCGTTGGCATCAGGGTGGCAGAAGATGGCGATGTCATCGGTGTATAGGGACACGCTAGAAGCGAGTAGCCGGGCGGTTAGCCTGCGCAGGACCCCAGCTTGGAGAGCCTGTTGCAGGAGGGAGTTAAGGGCATCAATCACCAGCGTGGAAAGCATGGGGGAAACCGGGTCGCCCTGCCGGAGTCCTTTGGCGTGAAGAATCGGCGGCCTCGGCGAGCCGTTCATGAGGACACGCGTGCTGGCCGTAGACAGCAGGATGGTCACCCACTCGCACCATCTTCAGCCGAAGCCGCACGAAGGATCTCAAGCAAGAAGGGCCAGGAGACGGAGTCAAACGCCCTAGAGATATCGAGCTTGAGGAGGACCCGGTGGGCACCGGCCTGGTGAAGGTGGCTCGTTGTGTGCTGAACCAGCATAAAATTGTCATGGATGCAGCGCCCAGCGATGAAAGCACTCTGGTTGACCGAGACAAGCTCCCCAAGCCGCGGGGCGAGCCTCAGGGCGAGAACTTTTGCTACGAGCTTGGCAACCAGATGAATCAGGCTAATCGACCGGTAGTCGAACAGAGAAGAGGCGTCGGGACGCTTCGCAAGGAGGGTGAAGAAGGCTTCCAAGTACTTCCCCATATTGATACGAATTCAATGGTATATTCTTTTCTCCTGTCGCAGTCGGTCTCGTTCGTTAAATTTATGGTCAAACTTAGATCTTTGAAAACGCGGGAGTATTGTATTGTGGAATGGAGGGAGTATATGACTTAGGCTTTGTACAATGCTAGGTGCTTAGGAAGGTGCTTACCAAAATAAACCAGTTTTCTCTTAAGCACCAGTGACTATTTCTACATGAGAGACACCTAATTAAGTGTCTACTTTCTACAAATAAGCACCAGTGCTTAAAGAAACACTGATTTATTTCCCTAAAACCTCCCTAAGCATCTTGCATTGTACAAGGTTTTAGAGTACAAGTAGATAGCGCCTTTGGTAGACCAACTTCCTGCCAGGTGGAGCAAATTCCAGTTTGCTGGTGTACCCCTAGTATATGGCTCTGTTATGGGTTGATTTCACAACAATAATATCAAAGGTAGCAAAATGTGTAAAAGAAATTGCAATTCTGTGATGGATGTAAGGAAAAAAAATCTACATTTCAATCATACTTCACGAGTAAAACATTATTTGCACACGAGCATTGCTATCTTGAGTAAAGATGAACTACATTCGGTATTCCCACAAAAAGAAAATGGTATAGTGTTTGGTAAAAAAACATCAGTTATTTTTGTTTGTGAGAAAAATAGATAGAGTTTGTTGGTTGTTAACATAAATCGCGGTTTCTAATCTAAAAAAACCACACAAATGGTTGGAAAAAAATGGACAATGTTGCATCAGTCAACGTCAAACAATAGATGTTGTCTAGCGCAAAAAATACATATAAATAAGTAATATGGCACGTCGAAAAAAAGTAATATGGCATGAGATGCACGGGTGCTATGAAACAAAGGCCAGTACTATCCGTTGGTCGACCGATCCTAACCTAGGATCTATCTCATCTAGAGTCGTCCGATTGCGCTGGTCCCAGACGCACGATCGATTGTGCCCCTAGGCCTGCATCTCACTCCATGCACAATGGTCCCAGCCGCAACACACATTGACGCCATGCGTGCCATCAGCCACCTCGGCCATGGCACCATTGCAGAGCGCCACCAACTGCCTCGGTCACGTCATTATTGTATTACCCCACAAGCCAAACACTCGTGTCTCCTTGCAGCATCTCGCAGCTACGCCGATTGTTCTCATAGCACCGACCAGCTGCGCTTGCAACATCGCCGGATCATGGTCGAAGCACCGAAGCCTGCCGATTCCAGCATCCGATGTGCATCGTCATGGGCTCTTGCAGCAGTCGGCTCGCAACTGATGCATCATCGCTTGTGGTTCCAGGATCCATCGTTTGTCATCGCTCTGGTCGTAGTCATGTCGTATGTCGGTTCGAGCACCTCTGGGCACCATCCCTAGCACCACCACGCTCCCGTTGTAGCATCGTGTGTGTCGTCGCAGCACGACCGTACTGCCCGTAGCATCAGCATTGTCGTGTGCGCATCATAACATCCACCCCTAGGTAGGGGATCTCGTTGCTCATGAAGTGGCGGCACCGCCCCCGCAGCTCACAACATCGCATCTCATCTCTCGCCGCGCGACACTTGACCAGCATCGACAACCACCACCAGCATTGGCAGCCAGCCTTGCCACACCCAGAGAACAATGGCAACCAGGGGCGGACCTATGTAGAGGTGAATGGGGGCCCAGGCCCCCACTCAAAATTTGAAATTCCAGTGGGTTTTGCTTGTGGTTTTTGAAAAATATACATAAATTCTTTGAAATTTTATAAAATATGCCCCCACTCAAGTAGTTTGCCCCCAGTCAAAATACTCCCTAGGTCCGCCACTGATGGCAACCAGCTTCGCTAGCCTGGCAGGAGTGGCGCGGAAGCGATGTTGCCACCTGGATTGGAGTAGCATATTTGCAGCGGCTGGGTCGGTGCCACGATGCTAGGAATGGAGGAGGGCGCTGTCAGAAGCAGTGTATGAAGGATGGGATTGGCGATGGTGGAGCGAGATGTTTATTTGGTAGAAGAATTTGGGAGGTGTGTGGGGAGAAGAATACATGTGGTCTAGAAAACTTTGGAGAAGGATAACGTTGCTTCGGTGGAGCTCAATGGCACGTGTTGATCGGATGGGGTGACCGATACAGGGCCAGAGCCCCAGATTATTGTAAACATTACCAAATCATACTTTACGAGTTGAACATAATTTATGCATGAGCATCACTTTTTTTTTTTTGAGGATATGCATGAGCATCACTACTTTGAGTATAATGTGAACTAAGTTCAGTATTTTGGCGGTAAGAGTTTATTGGTCATTTATGTGATGACACAAACCACGGCTTCCAATCTCAAAAAAATCATGGATTTCAATCTGAAAAAATCAAACCCACGCGAATATCGCACCCCGATTGGCAAGAATCGACAATGTCACGTCAGTCGATGTCAGATAATAAATGTTGTCCAACTCAAAGAATAAATAAAAACAAATAGATAATGGAGCACGAGGTGCACGGGTGCTAAAAAACAAGAGGATTAGATGTCGACATCCATGGGATGACGTGCTTCGCCAGGTACCACTTGGAATAACCATTTTTGAACATACCGGCCGCTACCACATGGAGTAGTACTATGTAATTACCATTTTTTACATATACTGTCACTGTGATGGCCCCGGGCCGGGGCCCCCTCTCCTGCCACTTGGCTACATATAGGCCGGCAGCCATGGCGTACGCTGGACACACACCAGCCTGGGCACAGTGGAAGGAGCGGCTGCCAGCGCGCACGAGCTACAGCTGAAGCAGAGGCATGGGGATGGCGCATGTCGCCCTGGCAGCGGTGCTGGCCATGGCGGCAGCGGCGGCGACGGTGAGTGCGTCGCCGGCCCTGGGGGTCCAGCCGCTGTCCAAGATCGCCATCCACAAGGCCACCGTTCACCTTGACCTCCACCGCTCCTCCGCGTACGTGCGGGCGACGCCGGCAGTGCTCGGCGGCCAGGTATGTAAAGCTAATTGATCAGCTAGTTTATCAATGTTTATCTGCCTAATCTGACCAACAGAACAGATAACCTCGGGCCCTTCTGGCTTTCGGTTTGCAGTTTGGAATGCAATGGTTGCAGTAGCACGGTGTGCTACTTGGATCTTACATCCAAGGGCAGAACTAGCAAAACAGTACTGTATTTAGGAACTAATAACACGGAAATTTGATGTATTTGGACTATAAATCTACAATGGTGCTGCTAAGTGGTAACCACATAGCGCTGGCGCTACTCACACGTTGGGAATTTTGAGAGCAGACAGCCGACCCATTGTCCATTGATCTGTCCTAGTTCATTTGCTTCCCAAATGTTCAGGGGGGGACATCTTATACAACAAAATGAAACAATAAGATTTGCCAACTTTTAATTGAATGGCCGACACAAAATTGCTAAGCTTACGGGTTTAAGCTTCCAATCACGTGAGGGCACGTCAGTCCAGAATTAGTAACCTTATCCGTCTGTAGCATTATTGGCGACCCAATGATGCAAAGAATGGTGACAGACAGAGCCACTTGTCCATTAGATATGGACCCCTCCCCACACTACGTGACAGTTGCAGATTTGCTAGTTGCAGCTTTTGATTTGATTAGTATTAATCTGCTTGTTAAGGAATTACAGGACACTGTCACCATGGATACGCCGGATGACTTGTCGTCGGTACTAGCAGCACTTTGTCCTGCTGATTCTGTGCATGTGTAGACAACAAAAGGCATCTAGTTAGCTTAGCATCTCATTGTTGCACCGACTTCACTGATTATTAAACTAGCTACACATAAAAGTCAAAAGAAAGTGCAAAAAACAACGGACCGTGACGTGAAGCCCCTATTGTCTATAGAAAATTGTCATTAATCATCTACTACATGACATAAACAGTAGGTAGATCGAGTAATAAACAATGAATCTAAGCAACTCAGAATTTAGAGCTGAATGCATCTGACAGGACGAGGACACTGTGTGGGTCACCGTCAAGTACGGCTGGGATAACCCCACCCCCGACGACTGGATCGCCGTCTTCTCCCCCGCTGATTTCATGTAAGGATTTTCCTCTTGACATTCCAAATCTCCAAGCATAGTGAATTCAAGCTCTAATCCCTGTTGGATCCTCTGGCTTGTGTCTCCTGTGCGTGTGCAGCTCGGGCACGTGCCCTAACCCCGAGAGGTACCCCGCCGAGCCACTGCTCTGCACGGCGCCTATCAAGGTCAGTTGGTTTAACCAACCAAGATGAAATTTCATGACAGCCATCTGCCAACATGGCCATGAACCATGATATATTGAGCTGAATTGGCCTGCTGGTGTGTGACTGCAGTATCAGTATGCCAACTACTCGGCGAACTACCTCAAAGGTGGCAAGGGCACCATCCGGCTCCAGCTCATCAACCAGCGCGCCGACTTCTCCTTCGCCCTTTTCACCGGCGGCCTCGAAAACGTAACCGCTCCCGATCCGAACCTACTGTTTTAGCATGTGCAATTTCTACGTAAGTGGAGCCAAGGAGGATCTGAAATTGTGAGCGCCCGTTGGCTGGTTGTGGGTTTACTTTTGCAGCCGAAGCTGGTGTCGGTGTCTAAGGCGGTGGTGTTCAAGAACCCCAAGGCGCCGGTGTTCCCGCGGCTGGCGCAGGGCAAGACCCACGACGAGATGACCGTGACGTGGACCAGCGGCTACGACGTCAGCGAGGCCTACCCGTTCGTGGAGTGGGGCATGGTCGGCGCCGCCGGCGCGCGCACGCCCGCCGGGACACTGACCTTCAACCGCGGCAGCATGTGCGGTACGTACGTATGTGGCTCCTAGCCGTTCATGCATGCACGGGCAAGAAGATAGAATGTTCACCGTGCTATTTTGGTTTGGTTTGGTTGTTTATTAACCAGGCGAGCCGGCGCGAACGGTTGGGTGGAGAGAACCCGGGTTCATCCACACGGCGTTCATGAGGAACCTGTGGCCCAACAAAGAGTACGTCGTAGGCAGATGTGTTACCGAGGAGAATGATAGAGTCGTCCTTGACAAATGCTCAAATGATCAGGTTAATTTATCCAACATCGGTTGGTTTGTGAATTGTGATTTAGGTACTTCTACAAGATTGGGCATGAGCTCTCCGACGGAACCGTGGTGTGGGCTAAGCCCTACACCTTCCGGGCACCACCAACCCCCGGGCAGAACTCGCTGCAGCGCATCATCGTCTTCGGTGACATGGGAAAGGTACAATTGAATGTGTCTCTCTTAATATGTATCCCATGCATGACAATTTCACTTCATTTTACATGAACTTTTTACATATGGTACACATGGTTTGGTCTTTCAGGCGGAGAGGGACGGATCAAATGAGTTCGCCAACTATCAGCCAGGGTCGCTCAACACGACGGATAGGTTGATTGAAGATTTGGACAACTACGACATCGTCTTCCACATCGGCGACATGCCCTACGCTAACGGGTACCTCTCCCAGTGGGACCAGTTCACCGCACAGGTTGCCCCCATCAGCGCCAAAAAGGCCTACATGGTTGCAAGGTACATCATGCCATGACCATGTTGGTATGGAGTAGTGCCATGTTAACAAATGGCATGCTGGGAGCTTATTACTAATCCTCGCCTTGCGTGTGCAGTGGCAACCACGAGAGGGACTGGCCCAACACCGGTGGGTTTTTCGACGTCGAGGACTCCGGCGGGGAATGTGGCGTGCCCGCCGAGACCATGTACTACTACCCAGCCGAAAACAGAGCAAACTTTTGGTAAGCACCTAGAAATCGAATGGTTTCTTGTAAAATTCATACGAAAATATTGGGTGGTTAATTTCAAGTGACAAAATGGCTATCATCGATGAATCTAAAGGTACAAGGTGGACTATGGGATGTTCCGGTTCTGCGTGGCGGACTCGGAGCACGACTGGCGGGAGGGGACTCAACAGTACAAGTTCATCGAGGAATGCCTCTCCACGGTGGACCGCAAGCACCAGCCGTGGCTCATCTTCACGGCGCACAGGGTGCTCGGCTACTCCTCCAACTCGTGGTACGCCGACCAGGGCTCCTTCGAGGAGCCAGAGGGCCGGGAGAGCCTGCAGAAACTGTGGCAGAAGTACCGCGTCGACATTGCCTACTTCGGCCACGTCCACAACTACGAGCGTACATGCCCGCTCTACCAGAGCCAGTGCGTCAACAACGAGAAGAGCCACTACTCGGGCACCATGAACGGGACCATCTTCGTCGTGGCCGGCGGCGGCGGTAGCCACCTGTCGGAGTACACCACGGCGATCCCCAAGTGGAGCATATTCAGGGATCACGACTACGGGTTCACCAAGCTGACGGCCTTCAACCACTCGTCGCTTTTGTTTGAGTACATGAAGAGCAGCGATGGCAAGGTCTACGACTCCTTCACCATCCACAGGGACTACCGTGACGTGCTCAGCTGCGTGCACGACAGTTGCTTCCCCACCACACTCGCTAGCTGATGGTCTGGCCGTTCATGGAGGGTCATGCAATAAAATTGGTAAGCCGCACAATTTATATGTACTAATAAACAAATCTCGTGGGCGTGAGTACCTGGTGTCCAACCGTCATGGAGTATCGAGCAATAAAATTGGTCAGCTGCACTATTTATACGTGCTAATAAAAAGATCTCGTGGGTATGAGTTGGTGTTAGATGTGCGCATACTAATCATACAAGAGGCAGGTGTATGCTAATTATGCTTTGTAACTCCTTGATATTATATTATGGAATGATAAAAGCATCATTTATCGAAAAATAGAGCTACCTTCTTCTGTAGAATTCTCAAATTTTAATCGAATGTTTTTTACTTCGACTTCACTCAGAAAAAATAAATCAGTCTGATCGCGTGTTGTGACCTTCCTCCTACTTTGTGTATGTTGTTGGGGAACACGGTAATTTCAAAAAAAATCCTACGATCACGCAAGATATATCTAGGTGATGCATGGCAACGAGAGGGGAGAATGTGTCCATGTACCCTCGTAGACCGAAAGCGGAAGCATTTCAATAACGCGGTTGATGTAGTCGAACGTCTTCGCGATCCAACCGATCCAAGTACCGAACGTACGGCACCTCCGCGTTCAGCACACGTTCAGCTCGATGACGTCCCTCGTGCTCTTGATCTAGTTGAGGATGAGGGTGAGTTCCGTCAGCACGACGGTGATGATGATGCTACCGGCGCAGGGCTTCACCTAAGCACTACGATGGTATGATCGAGGTGTGTAACTGTGGGGGGAGGGGGGCACCGCACACGGTAGGGAGAGAAACTTGTGTGTTCTAGGGTGCCCCTGCCCCCGTATATAAAGGAGCAAGGGGAGGCCGGCCGGCCCTCCTTAGCAGGCCCCCAAGAGGGGAATCCTACTAGGACTCCAAGTCTTAGTAGGTTTCCACCAAGAGGGAGAGAGGGGGGAGGAAGGAGAGGGAGAGGGAGAAGGAAAGGGGGGCGCCCCCCCCTCCTAGTCCAATTCGGACCCAAGGGGGAGGGGGCGCACGGCCTTCCCTGGCAGCCCCTCTCTCTCTCTCTCCACTAAGGCCCATCGAGTCCCATTAGTTCCCTTGGGGGTTCCGATAACCCTCCGACACTCTGGTTTTATCCGAAACTTCTCCGGAACACTTCCGGTGTCCAAATATAGCCGTCCAATATATTAATCTTTATGTCTCGACCATTTCGAGACTCCTCGTCATGTTCGTGATCTTATCCGGGACTCCGAACAAACTTCGGTCATAAAAAACACATAACTCATAATACATATCGTCATCGAACGTTAAGTGTGCGGACCCTATGGGTCAGAGAACTATGTAGACATGACCGAGACTCGTCTCCGGTCAATAACCAATAGTGGAACCTGGATGCTCATATTGGTTCCTACATATTCTAGGAAGATCTTTATCGGTTAAACCGCATAACAACATACGTTGTTCCCTTTGTCATCGGTATGTTACTTGCCCGAGATTCGATCGTCGGTATCATCATACCTAGTTCAATTTCGTTACCGACAAGTCCCTTTACTCGTTCTATAATACTTCATCCCACAACTAAACCATTAGTTACAATGCTTGCAAGGCTTATAGTGATGAGCATTACCGAGAGGGCCCAGAGATACCTCTCCTAAACACGGAGTGACAAATCCTAATCTCGATCTATGCCAACCCAACAAACACCTTCGGAGACACCTGTAGAGCACCTTTGTAATCACCCTTTTACATTGTGACGTTTGGTAGCGCAAAAAGTGTTCCTTCGGTATTCGGGAGTTGCATAATCTCATAGTATGAAGAACATGTATAAGTTATGAAGAAAGCAGAAGCAATGAAACTGTATCGATCATAATGCTAAGCTAACGGATGGGTCATGTCCATCACATCATTCTCCTAATGATGTGATCCCGTTTATCAAATGACAACACATGTCTATGGTCAGGAAACATAGCCATCTTTGATTAACGAGCTAGTCAAGTAGAGGCATACTAGGGACAATATGTTTTGTCTATGTATTCACACATGTACTAAGTTTTCGGTTAATACAATTCTAGCATGAATAATAAACATTTATCATGAAATAAGTAAATAAATAATAACTTTATTATTGCCTCGAGGGAATATTTCCTTCAGTCTCCCACTTGCACTAGAGTCAATAATCTAGATTACATAGTAATGATTCTAACACCCATGGAGCTTTGGTGTTGATCATGTTTTGCTCGTGGAAGAGGCTTAGTCAACGAGTCTGCAACATTCAGATCCGTATGTATCTTGCAAATCTCTATGTCCCCTTCCGACACTTGATGACGGATGGAATTGAAGCGTCTCTTGATGTGCTTGGTTCTCTTGTGTAATCTGGATTCCTTTCCCAAAGCAATTGCACCAGTATTGTCACAAAAGATTTTCATTGGACCCGATGCACTAGGTATGACACCTAGATCGGATATGAACTCCTTCATCTAAACTCCTTCATTTGCTGCTTCCGAAGCAGCAATGTACTCCGCTTCACACATAGATCCCACCACAACGCTTTGCTTGGAACTGCACCAACCAACAGCTTCTCCATTCAATAAAAATACGTATCCGGTTTGCGACTTAGAGTCATCCGGATCAGTGTCAAAGCTTGCATCGATGTAACCATTTACGACGAGCTCTTTTTCACCTCCATAAATGAGAAACATATCCTTAGTCCTTCTCAGGTATTTCAGGACGTTCTTGACCGTTGTCCAGTGCTCCACTCCGGGATTACTTTGCTACCTCCCTGCTATGCTTATAGCAAGGCACACATCAGGTCTGGTACACAACATTGCATACATTATAGAACCTATGGCTGAAGCATAGGGAATGACTTTCATTTTCTCTCTATCTTCTGTAGTGGTCGGGCATTGGGTCTGACTCAACTTCACACCTTGTAACACAGGCAAGAACCCTTTCTTTGACTGATCCATTTTGAACTTCTTCAAAACTTTATCAAGGTATGTGCTTTGTGAAAGTCCAATTAAGCATCTTGATCTATCTCTATAGGTCTTGATGCCCAATATGTAAGCAACTTCATCAAGGTATTTCATAGAAAAACTCTTATTCAGGTATCCCTTTATGCTATCCAGAAATTCTATATCATTTCCAGTATGTAATCCACATATAATATTAGAAATTCTATAGAGCTCCCACTCACTTTCTTGTAAATACATGCTTCTCCAAAAGTCTATATAAAACCATATGCTTTGATCACACTATCAAAGCGTTTATTCCAACTCCGAGAGGCTTGCACCAGTCCATAAATGGATCGCTGGAGCTTGCACACTTTGTTAGCACCATTTGGATCGACAAAACCTTCTGGTTGCATAATATACAACTCTTCTTCCAGAAATCCATTCAGGAATGCAGTTTTGACATCCATTTGCCAAATTTCATAATCATAAAATGCGGCAATTGCTAACATGATTCAGACAGACTTAAGCATTGCTACGGGTGAGAAAGTCTCATCGTAGTCAACTCCTTGAACTTGTCAAAAACCTTCCGCAACAAGTCGAGCTTTGTAGACAGTAACATTACTGTCAGCGTCAGTCTTCTTCTTGAAGATCTATTTACTTTATATGGCTTGCCGATCATCGGGCAAGTCCACCAAAGTCCACACTTTGTTCTCATACATGGATCCCATCTCAGATTTCATGGCCTCAAGCCATTTCACGGAATCTGGGCTCATCATCGCTTCCTCATAGTTTGTAGGTTCACCATGGTCTAGTAACATGACTTCCAGAACAAGATTACCGTACCACTCTGGTGCGGATCTTACTCTGGAAGACCTATGAGGTTCGGTAGTAACTTGATCTGAAGTTTCGTGATCATCATCATTAACTTCCTCACCAATTGGTGTCGGAATCACTGGAACTGATTTCTGTGATGAACTACTTTCCAATAAGGGAGAAGGTACAGTTACCTCATCAAGTTCTACTTTCCTCCCACTCACTTCTTTCGAGAGAAACTCCTTCTCTAGAAAGGATCCATTTTTAGCAACAAAGATCTTGCCTTCGGATCTGTGATAGAAGGTGTATCCAACAGTTTCTTTTGGGTATCCTATGAAGACGCACTTCTCTGATTTGGATTCGAGCTTATCAGGTTGAAGCTTTTTCACATAAGCATCGCAGCCCCAAACTTTAAGAAACGACAACTTTGGTTTCTTGCCAAACCACAGTTCATAAGGCGTCGTCTCAACGAATTTTGATGGTGCCCTATTTAAAGTGAATGCAACTGTCTCTAAAGCATAACCCCAAAACGATAGCGGTAAATCAGTAAGAGACATCATAGATCGCACCATATCTAATAAAGTATGGTTACGATGTTCAGACACACCATTTCGCTGTGATGTTCCAGGTGGCGTTATCTGTGGAACTATCCCATGTTGTTTCAAATGAAGACCAAACTCGTAACTCAAATATTCTCCTCCACGATCAGGTCGTAGAAACTTTATTTTCTTGTTACGATGATTTTCCACTTCACTCTGAAATTCTTTGAACTTTTCAAATGTTTCAGACTTATGCTTCATTAAGTAGATATAACCATATCTGCTCAAATCATCTGTGAAGGTAAGAAAATAACAATACCCGCCACGAGCCTCAACACTCATTGGACCACCTACATCTGTATGTATTATTTTTAATAAGTCAGTAGCTCGTTCCATTATTCCGTAGAATAGAGTTTTAGTCATCTTGCCCATAAGGCACGGTTCGCAAGCACCAAGTGATTCATAATCAAGTGATTCCAAAAGTCCATCAGCATGGAGTTTCTTCATCCTCTTTATACTGACATGACCCAAACGGTAGTGCCACAAATAAGTTGCACTATCATTATCAACTATGCATCTTTTGGCTTCAATATTATGAATATGTGTATCATCACTATCGAGATTCAACAAAAATAGACCACTCAGCAAGGGTGCATGACCATAAAAGATATTACTCATATAAATAGAACAACCATTATTCTCTG